TCTCCCTGCAGCCCAGGCCCAGGGTTGAGTCATGACGCCGGACGTGGTGTGAGCCGTTCCTTGTTCCAGGCACAGGCAAGCCTGGTCCATCTGTCACCTCATGCAGCCCACACCTCCACCCGGCCCCCGATGGGAGCCGCGCATGTGCAAGACACTGAACCTGAGTCTGACCCGGGCCCCAGCTGCAGCCCAGCCCTGGTCAGAGGGGCCACAGAACGGGAGAGAGGCACTGCTTGGCCCTGCCTGTGGCAGGCCGGAAGCCACGGGGTGGGGCAGCTCGGGGTTCTTTTTTCTTTTTTTCTTCCTTTATTTTAATTATTTATTTACTTATTTTTAAGATTTTATTTACTTATTTGACAGAGAGAGACACAGCGAGAGAGGGAACGCAAGCAGGGGGAGTGGGAGAGGGAGAAGCAGGCTTCCCGCTGAGCAGGGAGCCCGATGCGGGGCTCGATCCCAGGACCCTGGGATCATGACCTGAGCCGAAGGCAGACGCTCAACGGCTGAGCCACCCGGGTGCCCCTCTTTATTTTATTTATTTAAATTCAATTAGTAGAGCGTAGTATTCGTTTCAGAGGCAGAGGTCAGGGATTCATCAGTTGTATGTAACACCCAGTGCTCATCCATCACGTGCCCTCCGTGGCGCCCCTCATCCAGTTACCCACCCCCCCACCCCCCTGCTCGGGGTTCCCAGGGACACTTGCTTTTTCTTGAGTTTTAATAAAACTTGAAAATTCCAGCCTGTCGCAGCTCTGCTGAGAGAAGAAGGGAATGGCATTTTTCCCAAGTCTGACACAGAGGGACAGGGAAGTAGTGCGTTATCTTGAGGCCCGCAGGGTGGCGCCAGTAAAAACATGCATAAGAGGACTCCGTCCTTCCAGTCGGCCCTCGTCCTCGCTGCTTTCCCATGACGCGACGTCACATGCATGGCTCTTAGCGGTTGACGCCACCCCCACGCCCGATACACAGATTTCTAACAGCTGTAGGGAGTCTCCCTGGTGACTTAATGACCTGAGTTTCTTTGGTGGTTTGCCACATTTCCACCGGAGTTCCAGGTCCCCTTGTCCCTCTGCTTCCCTAAAAGAAAGTATAGCTTTGCCACCCTGGAATGTTCTTTCATCTTCTACTTCTAAGTAATGACTTAAAAACAATGAAAAACACCTGGTAAAATAAAAACAAGTTTAGATAATTCCGTTTATACTGGGAGTTAAAAGATGCCTTATAGGCCCACACTGAGATATTTGCGTTTAGCTTCTCCATAGCTGGTGGTGTCTGGAGTCCCCGGCTGCTGTTCTCTCCTCCCCCGCCCCCCCCGGATCCACGCAGAAGCCCCCACCAACCTCAGCCTTCCCTCCCTATAGGACCTCTTCTCGGCCCTAATCAAGGGCCCCACTCGCACCCCCTACGAGGATGGCCTCTACTTGTTTGACATCCAGCTCCCCAACATCTACCCAGCCGTGCCCCCCCACTTTTGCTACCTCTCCCAGTGCAGTGGCCGCCTGAACCCCAACCTGTATGACAATGGGAAGGTGTGTGTCAGCCTCCTGGGCACCTGGATTGGAAAGGTGAGTATAGTGCCGACCAGCCCGGGTGGAAGGACAGCTGGTCGGGGGCGGGTGTCTGGGGCAGAGGTGATCGTGCTGGCTGTGTGTGTTTCAGGGGACGGAGAGGTGGACGAGCAAATCCAGCCTTCTCCAGGTGCTCATCTCCATCCAAGGTACGGTGGGCAGGGTGGGGGTGGGGGGTGGGGATGGCTGCTGGAGGGTACCGTGACGCTGGCCTTTCCGTTCTCCGCCTCCCGTCTGTAGCTCTGGCTGTCCTCGGGGGGTCCTCAGCCCGGCCCTAATGGGCTCCCCGCCACCCCCGCCCCCACAGGTCTAATCCTGGTGAATGAACCGTACTACAACGAAGCGGGCTTCGACAGTGACCGGGGCCTGCAGGAGGGGTACGAGAACAGTCGTTGCTACAATGAAATGGCGCTCATCCGTGTGGTGCAGTCCATGACCCAGCTGGTGCGGCGGCCCCCCGAGGTCTTCGAGCAGGAGATCCGGCAGCACTTCCATACTGGTGGCTGGCGGCTGGTGAACCGCATCGAGTCCTGGCTGGAAACCCACGCCCTGCTGGAGAGGGCCCAGGCGCTGCCCAACGGGATCCCCAGGGACAGCAGCTCCCCGGAGCCGCCGGCCGTGGCCGAGCTCTCCGACTACGGCCGAGAAGAACCTGAGGACGGAGGGCTGGCCCCTGGAGAGGCCTCCCAGGGCTCAGACTCGGAGGGCGGCGCCCAGGGCCTGGCCTCGGCTAGCAGGGACCGCACAGACCAGACTTCGGAGGCAGCGCCTGACGCCCCGGTGCCACCCAGCGTCAAACCAAAGAAGCGGAGAAAGAGCTACCGGAGCTTCTTGCCCGAGAAGAGCGGCTACCCTGATATCGGCTTCCCTCTCTTCCCACTTTCTAAGGGTTTCATCAAGAGCATCCGGGGTGTCCTGACGCAGTTCCGGGCCGCTCTGCTAGAGGCGGGCATGCCCGAGAGCACAGAGGACAAGTAGCCGCCCGCCCTCGAGGAAGCAACGTCCGTGGGGGGAGGCCAGCTGCTGCCCGCTCGCTCCCTCCCCTGGAATCGCCCGTCTTCCCGTTTTCTCCTTTGTCCCCAGTGCAAAAGCCCCTCACTGCCCTCTCCCCAAGGTGAGTTTGATGCTGAAGTGCAAGAAGTTTCTTGAGATGCTGCCGTTTCTTTCCTGAAGCAGTCTTTCAGCAGGCCGGTCCCCTGTGGCAAAGAGAATCTGAAACCTGTTGCTGATTTTCCACTTGTCACCCAGGCAGAGTGTCCTGGCACCTACTCCCTTGCCGTCCCCATCTCGGGTCGGAGGTGGGTCTTCCTGGGGCCTGACACGAGGGCCCTCTTTGGGCCCAGCAGCAGGACGAGTGGATGTGCCTTGCATGAAGTGTGGGTTGCTCCAGCAGTTCCCCCAGTCCCTGTCAACCTCCCCGGTACCCCTGTAGCTTCCCCGGTCCCAGGCCCTCCTGCTGCCACCGCCACCACTACTCCCCTGTCCCCCCCCAGCTGCTGTCACCGACTCCTGGCTCTGCTCTGGACCATTTACCACAGGATAACCCTCAGGCCTGTTGAACTTGCTCTCTAAGAGAGGTTGGGACCAGGCTGGGTCCAGGGGGACACCCAGGAGAGGTGGCAGCCCTCACATGTGACACGGAATGAGGACCGGGGAGCTGCTGGAAAAACGGCGGTAGGTGCCTTGCTCTGGCGCTCCGGCCTCCCCCCGCTGGCCTGGGCCCGCCGCCGCTGCCGCCGCAGCTCCGCTCCCCGCTCGCCTCCCGGCTCGGCTCCGGCTCCGCCCCAGCCGCGCCCCAGGGCCCCGGGCGGTGGGGACAAGGCCAGGGCCAGGGCCTCTCTCGCACACTCTGCCCCTCCCACCATCAAATGCTAACGCCGGGAGGTGGCCCGTCGCTCACTGAACACGGAAGGAGCCAGCCGCACTCCCTCCCGTCGCTGACAAACTCTGCAGGCTCGCCCCCCCCGGGGGCGGGGGGAGGGGGCTCCCAGGGGTTCTCCTCCCTCTCAGAGACAGGCCCAGAGGTTTACAAGTTTTCTAAGCTTTTGATAATGTGAAGCTCCAGGTTAAGAGGATGCTGTTGAGCACATTGCAGCTATGTAATTTTTGGTGTATGTATGTAATATTTAAGGTTGGAAGAAAATAAATCTCAAAAGCAAAGATATTAACTCTTATTAGAAAAAAAGACAAAAAACAAAAAAAAGAAGCCAAAGCATGATGCGTCTTGTCCGCCTTAAGCTGGCTCCACCCCTGGGCTGTGCCGTAGCCCCGGCAGGCGGCGGCCGCGGGGAAGGACGGAGCCGGGCCTCGGCCGCGGCATCTGGAGCCCTGAGTCGGTATCTTGTTGGAGAAACATCCAGAGTGACTGGTGGGGCTGTGCGCTCGCTGTTCATGTGGAGATGTGAATGCCTACTGCTTAAGATCTCTGTATAAAGTGCTGTGTGATTAAACTTTTTTTTTACTTGCATTTTTTTTGTTTGGCTCATTACAATGTACAAAACAGACTAGATGGCACCATTAAACCTGCCTCTGCCATTCATCTGGGCTCTGTCGCCTTTCTTCCCCTCCGGGCCACCTCACACGTCCCTCCCCAGGGGAGGCAAGACCCGTGGCCAGAAAGGTTCGCGGCCCCAGCTCCTTCCACCCTAGCCGGTCTGCGTCTGTGCCTTCCGCGTTTGCAGCCGCGGGCGTCCCGGGGGCTGGAAGACGGGGCCTCGTTCACTGGGGCAGCGCTCTTGTTTGTGGGGACAGCTTGTGTCCCATTCCTCCAGAGCCGGTTTTTAGCACTTACCTGCCGGCAGCGGCTGTGGTCCCCGGGGCCCTTCCAGATGCTCGGGGGGAGTTGAAGCACCTGGCCTGGCCTTTAAGCCAAAATGGTTACAACCAGTTTGGGGGCCTCGTATCGGCCCCTCCCTGCTGCTTCCTCTTCACTCCCGCCCCCTGAGGACCGGGCAGGGTAGGATAGAGGCGGCTGGGGGAGCCCCAGAGCCCTCGCTGGAGGGATAACAGACTCCTTTCAGGAGAGAACAACTGCCTCCATTGTGACCTTGCCGCTCCTTGCTAATTTCTGTAATGCCCCCGGAAATCAGAGAACTCGTCCCTCTTCACTGAGACCAGCTGGCCGTGTGGCCCTGGCTAAGACATACTAGCTCTGAGTTTGCCCTCCACATGGGGCCAGGGAGTTGGCTGAGCTCCGTGGCTTCTCCCAGGCCAAAGGTGGTATAGTCATTGGGGCAGGACCCTAACCCCTGCAAAAAAAAAAAAAAGCCTGGGCTAGTCTTGGTCCTGTGCCCACCACCAAAATGATGCTTACGAGTTAGTACCACACATTGGCCCATCCAGTGCCCACTACTGGGCATCGCTAATGTGAAGTTCTAGTGCCCCGGCAGGAGTGAGATCCCACTCCCTCCCCAACACCTAGGATAAAACCAGTAGGCTGGGAATGTCACTTTATTTGTATTTGATTCATGGGGTTGGGCTCCCAGAAACAAAATGGGAGTGGCTTCCACAGGCAGGGAGACCCAACCAGCTGGGCTCCTGGCCCAGAGCCTTATTCTGGCCTTTGGTAGGCAGAGACTGTCCTTCTAAAGCACAGCGTCCACCTTCCCACCGTCTTCAGGGGTCCTCCTCCCCACCACATGAGCTGTGGACGGGCCCTCCAGGCCCCGGGGGGAGGTTGTGGAGGGTCCTGAGCTCCGAGGTGACCAAGTAGGCTAAGGCACGGCAAGGCCCACGGAGTCATAAGGGCTCTCCTGGAGGTGCTCCCTGCTGAGGCTGCGGGCCGGGGGGGCGCTCCATGCAGCCACCGGCCATCCAGACGTAGTCTGGGTGCACCTGGCCCTGCACAGCCTCGCTGACCATCAGCTCGCCATCCACAGCAAACACACCCTTCCCGTCCTTGGGCTCCAGGCGGAAGGCAAGCACAGGCACATACACCAAGTAGGGACAGTCATAGTCCATGTGCCTCCCCTTCTCCATGGCCAGGAAGAGGCGCAGCAGCATGGCCCGGGACACGCCGGCCCGCACGTAGAACAGGTGCATGGTGCCGGCCGCACGCCGGCCCATGGGGGCCGCAAACATCTCACTGCCCAGGTGGGAATGCAGCAGCACCAGCACCAGCACGAAGTCCTGCTCCGGGACCACGGTCCAGTGCGGGGGCACCGGCTCCTCCAGGGGTACGAGGTGGGCGTCCGCAGGCCCCTGCTGGTCCTGCCGCTCCCCAGCGGGGGGCGCGGGCACCTGGGAGGCCACCCTTTCTGCCGGGAGGTAGGCCAGCGTGCCCTGGTAGACACGCAGGGCCGCCAGGCGCAGGAAGGTGCCCAGAGTGAAGCGCATCTGCCCGAGACGCCGGAACTTCTCACTCTCCAGATCCACGTCGGCAATGAAGCCCCAGGCCAGGCTCAGCACGGAGAAGAGGCGCAGCCCCGAGGCCGTCTGCAGTGACAGCAGGTTCACGGGCGCCAGCAGCCGGCGGCACAGCAGCAAGGTGCAGTTGGTCAAGAGGTCCTCATTAGTCACCTGCTCATAGCTGCAGGGGAGAGAGGTCAGATGGGGCCCGGCAGGAGGCCTCACGCGTCCTCGCCTTCCTCGGCCTGGGGACTCGAGGCGGGCGGGGGGACACTGGGTCCCTAGGGCACTGGGAGGAAGGACAGATGGGGCAGGCGGAGGCAGCCAGCTGGAGTCACCCAGAGAGGGCCCCAGAACTGGGGCGGGGGAGTCTCCAGGGAAGAAGGAATAGAAGTGACGTCAGTATATGGGAACTTAGACAAGAAAACCTGGCAGGAGAGCGGCACCGAGGGGAAACCGAGGCCCACTCTGACCCTGGGCTCTCACCCGGCATAATGGTTCAAAGAGGCTGCCAGTGCGTTGCCAGAGCCAGCTGGAAGGCTACACAGGGGCTTCCGGATGGCGGTCTCCCAGTCTGGCCGCTCCATGAGCCCGTTCACCACCTGTTAGAGCACGGGAGGGGGGGATGCTCAGCCTGGGTGGCACAGCCCCCCACACACACCCAGTCCCTCCAGGCGGGCCTCACCTCATGCATCAGCCCGTCCCCAGACATGACCACCAGCGCATCCCAGCGCCCCAGCTCCTCAACCCGCACCAGCTCCCGAGCGTGGTTCCGTCGCTCTATGGAGAGACAGGGTGGCCACGGGGGTCTGGAGAGCCCTGGCAGGGGACGCTCCCCGCAACCCCTCAGGGAGGCACTCACCAGTGAGCATCAGCGTGAAGGAGATCTCGGCCTGAGCCAGCAGGGGCTGCACGTGGCTGCGGAAGAGCTGCAGCGCCTTGCCCTTGCCTCCGCGCGGGTTTAGCAGGACCAGCACGCGGCAGGGCCGGGGCAGCTGGCTCCTGGCGCCGCCCGCTGGAAAAACAAGCCCCAAAAGGCCGCGTCCCCAACCGGCCACTAGGGGGCCGCGGATCACAACAGGGGTACTGGGGTGGAAACGTGGGGACGGCAATCTCCTGGAAATTGATCCAACAGAGCCTGGCAGGAGGCAGCGGCCTCCAGTGGGGAGCTCCAGGAGGGAGCACCTCGCCCTTGACACCCCGGTCCCTGGCTCGAGCCGGGCCAGCTTCTGGCCTCGTGTCGGGAAAAGTGGTTCGATTGTCCCCAGCCCCTCTCTCTTGCCCAGCTGACTCTGGCCATTCTTCCTGGCAAGGGAGGAAGAAACACCCCACCCCACCCCCGCCACAGCCCTTCCCCACCGGGACCCCACAAACCTGGATCCATAACCTCGACCCGCGGCGCCCGCTGCCAGGGCGTCCCCAGCGCTGTCGGGGAGCTGCCCGCGGCGGCGGCTCCTGCCTTCAGCTCCTTATCGGTGCTGCCCAGGCGGGCGTCGCGGTGCGGGCTGAGGGGTTCGCCCTCCCCGCCCGGAGCCGGGGCCCTGGAGGCACCCGCGTCATCCCCTGCGGCTGCCGGATCTGAGGGAGAGGAGACAGCGCTGGCGGAGTCCGGAACGGCCCCCTGAGGTGGGGAGCGTCCGGCTAGATCCTCGGACCCCTCGCGGGGAGCCGCGCCCTCCGGCATCGCCTAGTCCTCCGAGAGGTCCAGAGAGCCGAGCTCTGGTGCCACCAAGGGCGCTCCGGTCCTAGAACTAAGCCCCCACCCACAGAGGCGAAGGGTGTCTTCCTGGGGGCTCTCCTCTCAGGGGCGTCGGGTTCCGGCCCGACAGTGAGTCAGTGCCCCGTGGCTCTCTCGGTCGCACCAGCTCCTCACCCGCCCCCCCGGGACTGCCAGGGGGAGGGGGGTCCAGTTGCGTAAAAATGCCAGAACTTGAGCGGACATCGCGGGGCACGAAGTTCGGCGCGAGCCATCGCCGCCCCGAGCCGGCCGGGTGGCCGAGTCCACTACCCCGAGCTCCAGAGCGGCGGGGGTCGCCGCACGCGCCTCCCAAGGCCGGGCAGCGCTGCAGGGACGCGCGCCTCGCTCGTGGGAGCAGCGCCGGGGTCGCGCGAGGGCTGAGCCCGAGCCCCGCCGCCGGCCGCCGCCTCCCTCCGCGGAGCGCCGAGTGGGCGCGCAGGAGCCACGAGCGGCGAGAAGGCAGGGCGGGAGGCCCTACCCAGTCGGTCCGGTTTGCGGGGGAGGCGCCACCTCCGTTCCCTACAGTAGCCTAGGGCGGAACTCAGCTCGTCCCGGGCTCGGCCCCACGTCTGAGCGACAACCGGAGCGCCGGACTACTGCTGACTGCACGGCCTCTCCGCCTCTGGCCTCAAACTTTTCGCTCAACTTCGCCGCCAGGCGCCGCGGTGCGGGGAGTGCGCCGTGCCTCTGCGCCCGGCCTGGCCACACCCCGCGCTCCCCGCGCTCGCGGGGGTGGAACCGGCGCCCGGCGGGGCCTGGCCTGCCCGCCCCCGGCATCGCCGCGCCGCCTGCCGCACGGTCAGCGCCCGCGGCTCGGCCACGCGCAGACGCTTGGCTGGGTCCCGGAACGCGGTCACGCGCGCCCGCCGCTCGGACTGGGCGACCGGCGAGAAGGCGCAGAGCCCCGGGTCCGGCCCCGAGCGGCGCGCCCCGAGCTCAGCGTCCCGGGCGCGCAAGGGGGAACGCGCGGCGCAGGCCCCGCGCGAACTCGCCGCGGCGCCCGGAGTCGGAGCGGCCCCGGGGGGGCGCCTGGCGCGCGCGGCTCGGAGCTGGGGGCAGACCCCAGGCTGCCCCTGGACGCTGCGACCTCCCGCCTCGGGGTCTTCCCCCTTCGCGCGCCCCGCCCCAGTCCCCCGGAATTCGAGGCCCAGACCCGTGTGGGTACCCCTCCTCTGTGCCGAGGCGTCTCTCCTGCCGCGCCCGCTCGCCCCCGAAGGATTATTTTTGGCTTCCTGGCGCGGCAGCTCGGCAGCCAGGCGCCCCCCACCCCCACACCGCGGGAAGGCAGGCGACCCGCCGGGGGGGGGAGGGGCGCTGCGGTCCGGAGGAGGGGGCCTTTTCAAGAACCTTAAAAGTCGTATCTTTCCCCCAGAGGAAACCATCGAGGCTCACCTGGGCGAGAGAAGCTGCTCCGCAGCAGGCGATGCCGGCCCACGCCCCTCACCCGCCAGAGGGGAGCCTGGCGGTGTAAACAAGGTCTAGGGGTCCCCGTCGGGATTGGAGAGCCGCACAACGGGGGAGTGGCCCCCGCCGCCGCCCGGCCCCATCGGCTCAGCGGGAGGATGCAAGCGCCCCGGGAGTCTTTACTTCGACGGAGGCAAACGGGGACACGTGTGTCAGTGTGTGAGTGATTGATATACGTGTCACGGGCAAGGGTCTGACCTGAACGTGTCCGCGACCAACTCGAGTTAAGTCCCTGGGGGGTTGTTTGCGGAGACCCGGAGGAGGACGTTGCCAAAGCCGACTAGGTGACCTGACCAGGTGGGGCCCCCGTTAGAGAAGGCCTAACCCCCTGAAGGGCGCGGAGGTGGTCCGGGCCCAGCCCGCTGCGTGCTCCCGGCCCACGGGGGCGGCCCCCAGCCCCTACACCCCTCGCTCTTCTCCACGCCCCTGAAAACCGAGAAGCCGCAGGGCCCGCGGCGCCCGTAACTCGGGCACGCCTCCGCGGGGGTCTCTTCCTGGGGACGCAGGCCGCCGGCCCCGTTTCCCAGCACCTGCGGGGCGGAGCCCGAGGTCCCCGGCTAGGAGGGAGGCGCGGGCTGGGACGCGCGGGCCCGGGGCCCCGCGGCTCGGCGCGCGTCGCAGGGGTGCGCGCTTCCGCCTGGCGCGGCTCCCGGGCGGCCCTGGCTGGGTCCTGAGCGTCCCGAGCGCGTTCCGGGAAGGTGACTCAGCGACGCGCTCCAGGGCCGAGAAACTCCGTACGACTCAAGAACGAGGGGAAGGAGCTGGGGCGTCGTCACCCTCTCGCGGCGCCGCGGCCGCGGTCTTGAACGTCCGGGCCCCCCACCCCCACTCCCCAGGAATCCGGCGCGGGGAGGGGAGGGCAGCGCTGCAGCCGCAGTGCCGTGGTCACGCGACGCGGGGACGCGAGCGGCGGCGGGGGGGGAGCCTCCGTGCGGGAGCCAGAGGGCCAGATCCAGCCCACCCTCCCCTCTTCCCCCTCCCCTCCCGTCTTCCCCTCCAGTGAAGGCTAGGGTCGAAGGCTGGATTGGGCGCCTGGAAAACGCGGGACGCGGGGCGGTGCTCCCCGAGATCCCAGCCTTGGAGGGAGGTGGCTGCGGAGAAGGCCAGGGCAGCCTCCCCCTCTGCCCCGCGCGGGAGGGCACCTCCATCAGGCATGAAGAGCCGCCGCTTTAAACCTTGGAGTCCGGTGGGAAACTGAGGCACAGGGAAGGGAAGACCTGGCTGTGCAGGAGTCCGTGGTGAGAAAGCTCGCCTGCTCCAGGGTCCCTCTCTTCCTTCCGGCGCCCCAGGCTGGAGCCCCTGGGAGTCGCAGGGCCCGGCGGGGGCGGGATTGACCAGAAAGCCTGCGGGCGAGGGGAGGCGGGGCAGCCTGCTGGCTTCTTTATCCGGCCGCCGGGGGCCCAGTGGGAGGGAGGTGAAGGGCAAAGCCCTCTGGCCCCGGTTCCAGTCTGCACAATGGCTCCTCTGTCCTCCCTGCCGCCTCTTCCCCTGCCCCCCTCACCTCCACGGTCTCTGCTCTGCCCCACTCATTCTTGTCATTCACCTCCTGGTTCCCAGGCTCCGTCTCTTCAGGCCCGCACTGACCTCCAGCCTCTCTCTAAAGAACCGTATCTATTTTTCAGCAATTCACCCATCAGTATCCCAGGCTCAAGAGACAGGATTGGGCAAGACCACGATGCTTGTGGCCCTTGGACAGTTGGGGGAACCGAAACCCTGGGAGGTGAAGGGTCTTGCCCAAGCTGCGGAACCAGTTCTCAACGGAGCTGAGAAGCGGGCCCAGGAGTCCTGCCCCTAGCCTGAGACACTGAGCCCACCCCAGACTTCCCGCTGATGGTTGAGTGTCCGTTGACCCGGGAGGTGGCTTGCCACAGAGCTTGCCCCCATGCCCCCGCTGTGCAGGGTCTCCCAGAGCAAGAGGAAACATCCTGAAGCCCTCTCCAGGCTTCCTCCCCCATGTCCTGATCAAGCAACTAGACCCTTTGCCCAACAGGTCCACCGTGGACCTGGCCTCCGGCTTGATCTGACCTGATTCCCAGCTCGCCTTGAAGATAATACCTGTCTCACAGGTGAAAGAGACTGCCTTTCTGTCCCTCCCAGCCACCCCCTTCCTCCTTATGGACAGCCCCCTCCCCAGGGAGACACACCTGAGAGCTCCTAAAGCAGGAATTTACTGGGCCTGGCTCCAGCTCTCCGGAAACTTGGAGCCAAGGCCGCCCGATGGCAAACGACTTGCTTTTATTAGGATAGGATTCCCGCCCTCCCACCGTTCCCTGAAGCAGTCCTCCCTGGGAAGTTTCAGCTCCCAAGCTGAGTTGCAGAGCCTCGGGCCTCCCTTGACCTTGAGTCCTTTCTGCCTCGGAGGCTGCAAGAGCAGGGAAGAGTTTGTCCGTCCCTGCAAACTCTTCTTCAGACCCGTGTTCTAGAACAGCCCCAGATGTGGCTTTCCATTCTGAGAGTTTCCTAGACGCTGCTGACCGTGCCAGGCGTGGGGGGGTGGCGGGGTGTGCCACACGTGGAGATCCAGGAGGGCAGACTGGTCACGCAGGATTCTTGGTTGCTCCCAGGGAGTGTTCAGAGTTTCTGTTTCTGCTGTAGCTCGTTGACTCTGGGCGTGTGGTGCGGTCAGCCTCGCTCTACCTTCTGCGTGGCCTTCTCGTCCTCCTGGGTGTCCTTGCTGGGGCTGGGAGCACAGGTCTTGTCTGGGCTCTGCCTTCCACCCTCACCTGCAGGCCTGCCGATTCTAGCTCGCTGACACGGTCGTTAGCCTCCGGAGCCTCCTCAATGTGGCAGCCTGCGGGCCATGCCCACTCCGCTCACTTTCGAAGCCTGCCCAGCAGCTGAAGGCCGTTCTGTTAGTTTCTTGGGGTCATTGTAACAAAGTGCCAGGAACCGGGTGGCTTGCCAGAAATCTACCGTCTCACAGACGTGGAGGCCCAAGTCTGAGATCAGTATGTTGGCGGGGTCAGTTCCTTCTGGGGCTCTCGGGGAGGATCTGTCCTAGGCCAGTCTCCTAGCACTGGTGGTTGGCTGGCAAGCTTTGCTGTTCTTGGCTGGGCGATGCATCACCGCATCTCTGCCTTCATCTGCCCTTGGCCTTCTCCCTGTGAAAGATTTGGCTGAATCTGTTCCTTAGGGTCTGCATGATCTTCTGTGGAAGTGTTCTTTTGCAAATGCAAATTGCTCTGGGAGGAAAAACCAAGGAGTCATTAGGACTCTAGTGTGAACTAATTGTTTCACATTTTCAGTAAAAAAATGTGCACATACGAAGTGTCCTGAAAAAGGGACACGCTCACGTGGGTGTTGGAGGAAAGGGGTGTCTGGAAGCCGGACCTACCCTCCTCCCTGCATTGTCAGGGAGCGATCTGTTGGGAGGGGTTGTTTATGTCTGCACAGGCTGCCGCACAGGCTGCCACACATCCTTGCACGCCCAGGCTTGCACACTGCTCCCTCGACTTTCAGATCTCGCCTCACACCTTGACTTATGGTGTCTTTGGCTCCCGGAGAAGATGCGTTTGTTCCCCGGTCCTTGGAAGAAGAAACTGAGTTGTGCGTTAGCATATTGGGTTCCCATTGATGCCCAGATTTATTATCTTACCGCTCCAGAGGTCAGAATTTCAGATGGATCAG